GAGATGCCTTGGCAAACACGGGCACCTTGTTATCGGAGCTTGCACTGGCCAGACCCCCAGCACTGCCTGCCCTGTCCCTGAGCCATCTCCTTGTGAAGGTGCTCAAGTGATCCCTTGGGCAGCAGCTACATCCACAACCACAGTTCCTAACACCAGATGAGAAATTCCTGCCCATCCCCTTTAGCACCCATGAGCTCAGGACCAAAATGAGACAAATGCAAGTGCAGAAGCACTTCTGGTCATCAGTCAGGCACCCGTCCTATGCCTCTGTCTTCCCCTGAAGCCCAAGTTGACACTGAAAGTCCAAATGCTGCAAGATAGTCCCCCCAAAACCAGTACTGGCTTTTCACTGGCAGGAGAAAGAAGCAGAAGGTTGCAGTGTGTGTCTCCATCCTTTAGTAATTCATCACCAGGTAATGCTGCTGCCTTGGTGCATGCCAGTAGAGAATAAAAGAGATGAGAAACCTTGAATGGGATGAGCGGGGAGCTGCTAGGTGAATTTCTAATGAGGAAAATGTCTACAAGCACTAATAAAAAGACCTGAAAGAGAATGCATTAGTAATGACAGGGCTTGAAAGAACATTTGTGTTACATGTCAGGCTTCAGCTATGAATTTAGAGGCAATCCAGTGCTACTAAATCCCCTAAACAGCAAGTAATGAAAAGATGTTAAATTTCCCAACGTGACAAGTGATTTTGAAAGCCACAGTTGTGAGACTTTCAGAAGAAAGCTGTTCTGCTCTTTTGGGGGGGGGGCATTTAGAAAACAAAAAGATATTCAGAAGCCCCGAAACCCCTCTTAAAATCCTGACTTCAGATTTTGATCCTGCAGAGGCAAAGTTCCCCCCCTCTCCCTGAGAAGCTCTCAGCTACAGACAGCAATCCAAATGTGCAAATATTAACAGTACACTCAGCGCTGCTGCCACTGGATCCGGACACATTAGAAAAGCCAAATCACACCAAGCTCTCAATCTGTTTTAACTTTACACTCAGACCCTGGTTCTCCAACACTTCTCCAAGCACCTCAAGGGGATGCAGCCTGGTTTCACCCTGATGTTCCTGAATTTCAATGTAACAGCAAGGAGAAGCTCTCAAAGGGAAGGTTTAAAGCAAACCCTGTGAACAGCACCTTGCACACACTTACCCTGGGCTCTTCACTTTTCCTTTTCTGTGCTTTTTCAAGGCTCAGAAGCTCACATTTTGCTTTCAAATACAAATCTCACAGAAGATGATTGCAAGATGACTGCTTTGGGAAAGGGGGGAGGAGAGTCCTACCAGGCTGTTTTTCATGGCTGACCGAGCAGGAATCTCCCGCCGTAGAGACGAAGGCCCCCTTGGAGACTATCTCTCCTAACAGACAGCAGGTAATTGATCCTGCTCATGTGAACAACATCTTGTCATTTTTCAAACACTTGGAGGAAAGAAGGTTAATATCTTTGGAGCCAGGAGTCTGGGGAATACGTAAAGTCACTACCGTGGCAGGGTGGGAAGGGCATCTCTCATCCTTGTACATCCATCTGGCAAAGCACTGACATAAGAGACCTTGACCAGATGCACTGGTGCTTCACTGGTGCACCAGTAAGTGCCTTCTGCATTTGTTGTATTTCATCAAAATGTAAAAAAAGGGTCTTTGTAACCTCTTCAACTGATGCAGAATTACTCAAGTGGTCTCCAGTTGTGTTCAGGGCTGTGACTCATCCTGAAGGAACTTGTTGGTCTGTTGCAAAGCCAAAAAATTTTCACCTTGAAAAACAGCCAGGGCCAAGCCAGCTACAGGGGCAAAGCTCACCCCATCCCTAGGAAATGAGGGCACTAAACACCGTCTTGCTCTCTTCTTTCCTGACGAGAGAGCGACAGAGCCCTTCCCTCCGACAGAGCAGGTATTTCAAACAGAAAGGACACATCAAAGGTAGGTCAAGTCTTTGGAACAAACCACTCAAGGGTGCCTTGGATCCCGTGGCAGATGTAGCATACAAAATTAACCATGTTTGCTCGAAGCCTGCACTCACAGGTGAACCGAAGGGACCGCGCAGACGGGTAACAGAGCACAGCCAGGCAGCTAAATAGGACTTAAAAGCTTTTGAAGCTGCAAACACTGGAATGAACTGGGGCATGAAATTAATTTTAACTGTACTGAATAGGAGACAGGCCATAAAACTCCATGGAAATAAGAGACCGGTAACATTTTAGTAAGAGCAGAAATTCTGCCGGTAACTCCCCAGTCAGCTCTATTAGCATACGTGACTCATCCCAACTGAAAAGCAAAGCAAACAAGAAGGGAGAATTAAATGAGTGTTGCAAGGCAGAGAGTATGGCTGTGAAGAAATCGAGGAATCCTGGCTCTGTGATATTCAAATGCCTTCCCACTGACATTTGCAAACATTCAACTGAGAAAAAAAAAATCCACACCAGGAAACATTAAAAAAAAAAAACCCGACCTATAAAAGGTATTTGTGATAGTTAACAGCCTGGCCATCTTGTGCCCAGGTATAAGGCTCCAAAACCACCTTCACGTGGCAGCAGTTTCCACTTGGCACAATGCAGCCAGGATGCAATGAGGGTTTGTGGACAGAATCAAAACCCAGATGATTCTTCAGCAATCTGCCAAAAGGCTTTTTCATCATGGCTAAATCTGCATAGGGTGAAGCTGTTCAGAAGAATCTGCATCCAATTACACCTTGGCAAAATATAACCTGTGGTGTCCTGGCAGCTGTCCTGGTGCTCTAATGCATCTGGCTGGTGTCTCCCAGCACCCTGAGGATTTCCTCCATCTCCTATGGAAACAGCCACCTCCAGGCTATGGAGCAGAAGATGCTCTTCTGAAGCAGAAAAGCATAAACATATTAAGAACAAGGGAAAGACAAAAAATAACTTCAAATGCATCCCATGGAAAAGTTATAGTTATATATATAGTTATATATAGCTATAGAGTTATATATAGTTACATATATGTGAACATCCAAGCATGACTTGGTCAAAACAGGGAAGTTTAGTATCTTTTCCTCTTGGTCAAAGGACCCTGAATTATTTACTTGGAAGAATCACTGAAATCTTGATTTCCTATCTGCCTCCCAAGCATCCAAATGTGGTTTAATGTGCAGCAGGGACACGGAGATGGAAAAAAGGACACACCAATTTCTCTGCATGTCCACCAACAAGTAGCAAAGTGCAGATCAGACCCCAGGACCTCTGAGGCAGACCCATGTCCAAAAGCAGCCAACATCTGGAGCCCAGATCGCTCAGGGGCCTTTCTCTGACCTAGATCTGTAACTGCGCTTGGCTGGCATCAATAACCAGCTGAAGGCAGCTAATTGCCAGGTTTCTGGAAGGAGGAGACGGAGGCTTTTCATTAAAATGTGTGGTTTCCTTCCCGTATTTTTGCAGCATTAATCACAGAGAACATTAACCCCAAGCCTGCCTGCTCCAACCTCTCCTTGGTCTGTCACCACCACCACTACAGGGACTGCCGCTGCCTGGGGTGGGGATAACCCCATGGATGCCTACAGAGGCAGGGATGGAATGGAACATGTGCTCCCATGGCACGGGAAGCTGGTTTGACTGGGCTTCACCTCTTGTCAACAGTTTCACTCCTGACCTGCGCAGTCGGTTCCCTCTTGTTTGTGCCTGTCTTTCAGGCAGCAACCCAGGACAGGAAATTGTTTAAATCACAGGAAAATGTGATCACAAACCCACAAATATTGGCAGCGGAATGGAGAGTGGGTGAAGTATCTGGATCTACGTTTTAACTCATTCTTTCAAGGACAAAACTTGCAATCAGCTTGAAATTGCCACCTTCTGTGCCTGGATTAGGATGGCTACAGGGCCCTTCAAGGCAAGAGAAGGTCCCCAGGAGCTGGTGACTTCCGCACACCATCAGTGCCAGGGGTGAGACACAACCAACAACACAGAGAACATGTCCTTGGGCCAGCACCTGGTGCTGCACAAGATGCTTTATCAGTTGTCAGCCCACTGAGCTGACAGGCACCCCCTGAGCCCCATGGGAACCGAGGGGCTGGGGGTGCTGCTGGGTTTGAATGTTTTACAGCGAGTGCATTGCTGGGATGATCCAGGAAGCCTTGGGTGGAGCAGGAACAGAGCGGGGCCAGGCAGCGAGCAGGTCACGTCACCAAACCCTCCTCACTGCAGCCCTCGGGGACAAGACAGCCCCTAAACACCACCAGCTCCCACCACGCTCCCCTAGAGCAAAGGTACAGGAACTCTTCCCCTATAATTCCCTGGGATCAATTAACATACCGCTGAAAAGAGATTATTAACTTTTGTTAATAGATTATTAAAGATGATTATCACCAGCTGACCGAGCCCGTACCAAAATAGACACGCTGCAGGCAGCTCAGAGCAATCATCAGTTCATTCAAGGCAGATAAAAAGTTTCAGATCTGGTTTGACTATTTAAATTTCCAACAATAATCACAATTATCGCTATTCTCATTATCTGTTACATTTCTTCTATGTTCAGGAAGTCACTGTGGTTATTAAACGCACGCTGATGATTAAATCATGTATTGAGGTGATAAGTCAAATTAGATGATTGCTAAGTCTCAGTAAGTATCTTTGAAACAACCAGTTGTTATTAGACATTCAAGAGGTCCTTCATGAAAATCTAATTGTAATTGCAACTTTCCATTTTACCTCATCTTTCTCGCATGCAAACACACACACACACACACACACACGCTGGCAGCTGATTTTGTACTTCAGTATTGGTGAAATACAGAAGAAAGCACTCAAGGTGAGCGTTCTCTGGGAAAGCATCAAGGGACTGGCCAGGACCAGCATCCACCCCCCAGGAAAATCAAACAGCACTTTCAGCATCCGCCTGAAGCTACAGCTCCCGACTGCTGGGCTCCTGGAGCTGCTCTGATAGGATGCTTACAATTCCTCGGCAGTTTTAATCCAGGTCTGGGAGTGAGCTGGCATCCCTCCCGCTCCAGCCTAATGCCCAACCTGACATTTAAAACAGCTTTATTGCCACATACTTACATTTTAATGTTTTCATGGTACTGCCTGGTGTCTGAAGGCTGGTTGTATAATGGCTGAAATAAATAAGAAAAATGAAAAGGTATAAAAGGTACAGTCTGACATTTAGAAACTTAAACCCATCAGAAGCGCTGCCACCTCGGTGCAGGTTCCCAGCCCAGGCGACCGTCCCCGTGTCCCCAGCCCCACTCCCGGCTGTACTGGAGGGTGCTGGCTCCCTGCAGTGCTGCTCGAGTCCTGGTGCATCCCGGCTCAGCCCGTGGGAGGGCAGGCAGTGCTCGAGCGAGCTGGCTCAGAACAAGCAATTTGCGACGTCGTCCAGATAAACACGGCACGGCGAGGACGTGGCTGTTATTCACCGACTGAAAACGCAGTGCGCCTCGGAACATATGACATGGGGGAGGCGAGGGGAAAGGGGGGCTTGGGGAGCGGGAAGAGACAGTCTGTGTGCTGCAAGTTGTTATGTCTACGCGGCAAAAGCCTGCCTGAGCTCTCCCAGGGAGCCAAGTGCAGGCAACTGCAGGCAGGACAAGCGTTCACCCCTGGGGTTTCCAGCAATTCCAGGGGTGGGTTGGCCCCTGCACATGTCCCGCAGTCCCCCAGCATCCATATGTAGAGCAATGATTGTCCGTCCCTCAGGAGAGGTAACTGGGCTCCAGAGGACAAGTGTTTTTCCCAGGGTGCCCCTTGGAGAGCCCAGTGATTGTGGCTGTCTCTAACACCAGGTGTGAGCACCCATCATGGGGCTGCTCTGCCCCCCACATCCTCAGTGCCAGGGACTTCCATGGGGAGTCAGGAAAGCTGGATCCATCCCTTGTCACCTTCAGGTGGTCACTGCCCCTGATACCTCTCCTTTCCCATCTGCAGGGTGATGTACCCTTGGGAACCTGCCACAATACAGGGTCCCATCTCTGGAAGGGAGAGACACCACAGAGACCACACTCAATTCCACCCATTGTGATTAACAGTTCAGGCCACACTCTAGGACCTGCCATCAGTTGTGTCCACACCAGCAGACTGACAAGATGCTCAAGATTAAGGCCTTCAACACTTCTAAATCACTGTCTAAGCTGCTGTGAATATGTCCAAGACTGGGCTAACGCAAAGCTTGTCACGGCCCAACCATCACCAGCAACTGGGCACTTAATGACCTGTTCAGGTTCAACCACAGAAATATCATGCAAGTACTCAGGCAGTTCATCCACAAACCTTCCCCAAACCAGCTGTGAGCATATAACATCTGTGGCCAAACAAAGGTATAGGGACGTGTGACATCCAATTCCTGGCTGAAGGCAGCATCCTGGCCATGGATACTGACACACCAGCTCACCCTCCTACTGTGGTCATGGGGCTGGGGCTACGCTCAGGGTCCACTTGATTTCATCTCAGATTAAACACAGGAAAAGAGCAAAACATCTGCTGAGCATCTGCTCAATCAGGTGAGCAGCACAGGGGACAGGACCTGCAAACAGAGGTGGGTTCCTTTCTCCTCCATTTCGAAGAAGGTGTCACTCTCACCTCCTACACGGTATCTCCCCATCACCATCATAGGTGCTTGGCACAGAAGCCTGTTTTTCCACACAACCAGCCTGTCTCTACTGCTCTTTAAAACAGATACTGCCTCACTTCTCCCCTGCCACACACCGGGACAGCCACATCGATCCGCACAGAACGCAGACTGGGTGTAGCTCTCCCTACTCTCTGCAGCCCATCCTTGCTCCATCTTGGCACCAACAAGTCATCAGCTCCTTTTTCTGGCTGCCCTTGGACATGTCCCTCCTCGCTGGGAAAGCACACATAATCCCCAGGCGGAAGGGCCACATAAGAGGCAAGTAATCCCCAGGCAGAGACACAGTGAGATGAGTCGCCGTGTTCCAGGAGGGATGTGGGGCTGACGGCAGCATCCGGGCATCCGTTACCTGGTGAGGGGACAACAGGCTGCAAGTCTGCCAGGAGACACCTGGCCACCCCGTGCTGGCAGAGCCAGTGCAGATGAGAGGGACAAGCAGGTTCTGCTGAAGGAGATGTTCTCAGTGGTGTCCCTTTCCCCAGGGGCGTTTCTATTGTGAATCCTCCCAGAGCTGCTGGTTTGACTCCAGGCTCAGAGCTGGCTGTGCACTTCACGCTTGGAAAGCTCAGAGGAACAGAGACATCCGTCTCATCACATAGCTCGAGGGAGGCAGGTCTGCACCAGGGAGAGAAGAAATCGAGCCACAGCTCCAGAGCATCACATCCACAGTCACCCTGGAAAGGCTTGACTGGAGGAACCGCTGGGTGGCCTTGACCAGTGACTGTCTCTTGGAAGAAGAATGCAGGAACTGGAAATACTGATAAATTAAAGTGTTTCTCTTCCCTTTTTGCTCATCAAAATTGAAGCAAAGAAGCTGGCATATGACAGGTCACAGAGACCTTCCTCCTGGGAGAAGGCAGTAGAATTAACATTTTGGTTTGGACCTGGGTTAGAAGATGCTCATGTGCACATGCACATTAGGGATGCCCTGATGCCACCCAGCTCACCAAAAGCCGATTATTCCTTTCCATTACAACCTATCTATGATATAAATAGCCACTTAATTCTTAGTAAGAAAATGTAAGTGTTAGCAGACAAGCACTGGAACACATCACTTTAAAAGAAATGCCCAGACACTCAGAAACAAGGAACTCTGGGACCCAAACACAAGATCCATATGACACCAGCATCTCAAAGAGATTTCTGTCTGCACAACAGCCTCAGCATTTTAATTCAACCCATGCAATGGAGGAAGCCCAGGAGACAAGTTCTACCTACCCAGAGGGAACTTATCCTCACAGATTAAATAGTTAAAGAAACTTTATTCTCAGCATGCTGTAACATGTAAACAGTATCTTCCCTCAGAGCTGTCTGCAATCTGCACAGAATTCCACCTTTCTCACTGCGTAAGGAGAAGTAAAGCTGACAGGTCAGATGGGTAAAGGAACATATTCAAAACATCCATAGTGCTTTTCTAGGGTTAGGGACATGTAATAAATTTCTCTGGGGAATGACATTTAAGAAAAACATAATTGCAATGCAAAGCTATTACTGGGAAAGCCCTGGATTTACTGAAAGCTCTTTAGAAATAAAACAGAACAAAAGGTTTCAATTGCTTTCTGGCCACTGCAGGGTTCAGACAACATACCTCAAACACATTTCTCCCTGGGGAAAACATGGAGTCATTTTTTTAAATGGTACCACTACACTGGAGGGATGAAACGAGCAGAGTCCTGGTTTACTGACTCCATCTCCTCCTGACGTAGATGGAAGCTTCCCAAGACCTGAACTGGATCCCTGCTTCCTGGGAATTCCTGGGCCTCCAGCTCCATCCTCCAGCACTCAGGACCTGGCAACCTCCTGCCTCTCTGCCATGACTGACTGACTCCTACTGCGACCTCTCATCTCGCCCCATCAGCCCCGTCGCGCTGTCACCGAGCCGACGTGCATCCGGCACCATCGCCGCTCCGACTGCACCAACCACAGCTCTCTGAACAACCAGAGCAAGGCATCCAAGCAGAGCCCACAGCAACACATGACCCTGCGTTTCAGTGACAGCCACACCTCTCCTTGCAGAGACTGGATTGACACCAGGATGCTCAACCTCCCTTCAGGAGACTCCCAGGCTGTGGCAGCCCCAGGGCTGGTGCACGTGGTGTGTGACACTGTGGATCAGGCGGGCGCATCGGGCAGAGAGTGCAGAGCTGCTCTCCTTCCTGGAGCTGCTTCCTTTCAAACTCAGAAAAATATCTGACTATTCATCTTGTCTCTTGCAGGCTGTTGGCAGTTCCCAGTGCTGCTGTGCCCGACATGGAGCATGGGCTGGGCCATAAGAAGTGTCTCTGGGCAGACAGATGAGACAGTCTGCAAGATGCACACAGAGCTCAGCTTTGTAGGGTTTTCTCAGAGGTTTCCTCTTTTCCCCTGCTCTCCAAGGAGTAAGGGAGGGCGACAGTGGAAAGGTTTGCCCTGGGCTCTGCTACAGCTCTCCTGTGCAGCGTCAGCACCCAGGGACAAAGCATCAACAAACTGAAAAAAGAAAAAATGGGAGGAAAAAAACCAAACGGGAGGAGGAAGGAAAGGAGATGCAATGTCTTTTAGATGAGAAAGCACCAACCCCAGGCACTACCAATCTTCAGAGCAGAAAGAGCAAAGGGTTTGACCCTGGTGACTCAGAGGAAAAATAATGAGTGTTACCTCCCCAACAAGGAAGTGGGCTTTGACACGTACAGTAATTCCCCTGTGACCTCTCCCTTACGCACCAGGGAAGACAGTGATTAGTACCACCTCCAAATTACAGCTGCGAAGGCCTGTGCGCTGCCTGCTCCTACCTCACAGGAATGGCTCCCTCCACTGCACCCCACGGCTGGTGCAAAGCAGGAGATGCTCTGTCAGGCTGGGTTTGATCCTTCTACCAGCACTGCTGCCAATGCACCTTTTCCAGGCACCCTTCGCCAGGACTCAGCCCCTCAGGGGTTGTTTCCAGTCACCCCTCCACCAATCAGTCCTTTGACTTACAGATAGATTTTGTTGGATGAGGGGGTAGCCCAAAATTGGCAATTTATTCTAAGTTGTTCTCAGATTCCCTGTGCATGAGGGAGATTGAAATAGGAAACGTGAGAGTCCTGATACCTGCAGGTCATCACAGCTGCGGCCGAGCTGTGCTCACAGAGCACCCTCCAGCACCCTCCTCCCTTTAGAGCGGGTGGGACAGAGGAGAGTCCAAGCACCCATCCCTCCACATGGCACCTCGAGGTTGCCTGCCCAGACAGCAGCCCCACAGCCCCAGTGCTGTGGTTGCCACCAGCAGACAAAGCCATCAGCATCCCGTGAGGAGGCAGACTGTGTCCAGCTCCTCTGCAGCGCACGAGGAAGGAGCCAAAGGGTTAAGGCTCTCTGAGGAGGGCTCTGTGTGTGTGTCTGCCTGTGTTTCAGTACTCATCTCAGTCACTTTGCTTCCTGCCTTGGTGCTGTGCCAGCGAGAGGTCCAGGCCAGCAGCAGGCTTCCTTCTGACAGACAGACACACACACAGGGTGCCGCGATCGCTCACCGCCCAGGAACGTCTCCAAACCTGGCCCGGCTCCCGCTCCCCGCAGCCAGAGGTAACACTCACCAGCTCCACCTGGGGACCCAGTCCTTCCAGGATCCGGTGGGCAGCCTCCGCCTTCTTCTGCAGGGAGGAAAGGGGACAGAGAGAAGAAAAGTTATCTGTGCCATTACAAGTCGCAGCCCTCTGCTCCAGCTCTCCCTTCTGCTAAAACCACTTCCAAAACATCCACAGAGCCGTCACAAATCCCACCCCTGCCTGCAAGTGGATGGAAAGGTCCAGCTCAGCTCCTGGACCCGCAGGAAAACCCCATGGGCGAAAGGCTCTGGCACTTGAGTTATCATGACTTTAATGCATCCAAGCTCTGCCTGGGAAGTGACCCGAATCCCCGACCCCTCGGGGTGCCAGGCAGGGGATCGTGCCCGTTACCTCCGCACGGCCGCCCTGCGAGGAGGAGGGCGGGCAAGTCGGCACGCACGCAGAGATGCCCTTTCTAGGATTCATCGCTTCATGAGCATGTGATCGTTAGATTTGAGCTGCCCTTGGCTCCTCGTCATGCTTTCGCTTCCCTCCCCTCCCTGCCGCAGAGGAGCCCTTCTCCGTCCCCCTCCCGCCCCCGGCCAAGCTACCTAGTGCTTATTAAAGGGAAAAAACCACCCAGGAACACGTGTCAGGGGCTGTACGGTGGTTACTAATTAAACAGGCCTGAAAAAAAGACATGGGTTGGCTGCAGCAAGAGCCTAAATAAAAGATGACATTTTCAGTAAACAGTACTTCCTTGCAAAGCCAGGCTGTTCAAGGGGGGTTACTGACAGTCCGATAAATCCAGATTGCTGCACGCTGCCGACGCCACAGGCTGAGCTGTTAAAGCCAAATATCTGACAGCGAGGAGGACAAGGAGATGGATTTTCAGAGGTTCAGATAAAATAGGTAGTTTTAGTTATTTTTGGGTAGGGGAGAGAGAAAATCCACAGATGCCTAAAACAGGGAGCTGAGCCCCAGGGCTGGGAAGCAGGTTAGGGCTGGAGTCTGGTCTAGTGGTAGAGCCAGTGGGGCTTGGCAAACCCTGGGCGAAGATCCCCCAGGGCAGGGAAGGGATTTCAGCTCCAGAGGTCCGTCTCAGTGCTCTCCAGCAGCAGAGACCTCTCACCTTCACACTGGCTCAGGGCAGGATGAGTTTCCCAGGGCCTCAGCACAGGGATGTCTCACCAAAGGCTGGCACACAGCCCTGCCGCTTGCCCCCGCGTCCACCCTAACCCCCCACCGGCGCCGAGAAGCACTGATGCAGCTGTAGGTGTGCAAGCACCTCACCAGGCTTCGCACACCCACACACACAGTCTGATGTGCCAGCGTGCACTTTAGCAGAGTCGGCCCGAGCAGCTGTGTGAGTCACCCTGCCCCCGGTCGGGCTCAGCGCCCTGGAAAACAGCCCTGGTCGAATGGCCCTGGCCAAAACCAGCCCCAGCCCAGCTGCAAAGCCTGCACCAGGTGCCTCACCACAACAAGACGACCAGGAGATGTCCAGTTCCTCTATTTACTGTTTGGTCGGGATGACACAAAACTCGTTTGCGATTTAGAAGCAACTTAAAGGAGGCTGAGAGAGATGTTACCACACAGCGAGCCCGCTCTGGCGCCATCCCCACACGTACGCAGGAGGCAGGCACAGCCTCACTGTTAAGGCATCCTTGCCTGTTATCTGCAGCGCTCCCCACAGCAGTCCCTGGAGTTCACAGGTTTCACAATCACTGCATGAAGTTTCCCCCACTGCCCACCTGACTCTGTTAATGGGAATGAGCCAAGTTCACCCAGGGACCTGCCCCTTGGAAAAATTAATCACACAAGAATGGCTCTCTCTGAGCCAGAGCTTAATATTTTGGTCTCCATAAGCTATAAAATCTGCTGACCTCGGAGAACACCAGCACTGAGGCATTCAGAAGTCTTACAGAATTAAAACTAAGGGGCAAGATTTTCAGGGGGGGGTCATTGAAACTGCTGAAACCACTCTACATCTGCTGCCAAGGGGGTGATTTGGCCAATGCCCTCCTGCCCGCCGTTGGTTGCTGGCAAGTAGGAAGCATCAGCTTACCCAATTTTTTTTGACGCATACCTGGGACAGAGAGCAGCAAACCAATTAATGGCAGTTAGCATAATTACAGGTAGAAGACTGCAGCCCCACTCAAGGCAGGCAGTCCCACCAGGGGCCTGTTCTCCTGGGCACCAGCACTGGTGGAGGATGCCCTGGCAGAGGCGAATGGCACAGCAAGGGACCAGTGATGCTGCAGGCCCGTGTATACAACGTGATTAACTTCGAGAAAAAGCTGAGTATGTTCAGCTGCTGCATTTGCCATGTTTAGACAACTTAATGAGACAAGCCAGAGGCAAATCACCATAGGCAGAACATGTGGCGAATCAAGAAGAATGGCATAATTTGTCTTGCATTAACCGACTGCAATATACACGTCTCCAGAACGAAAGATCAGGAGGGGAAGCTATTCCGAGCACGTCATATCTTTGTACGTACACAAAGAAATGCCTCTATCTTGAAAGCTGCCCAATTAACACTTGACACCCACTGTAATTGCTGATGCTCCTTGCTGCATTTATCAGATCATAGCAGAACCTTAACGAGCTGTCTGAAAAGCCCAGCAGAGCGAGGTGAGAGCTGGCAGCAAAATTGGGAAGGACACAGAACACCCAGCAGAAGGTTCCCACCATGCTGGGGCTCATCCATAAAGACAAACAGACACAGGGAGATGTGCTCCTGCCTAAGGAGCCAGTGAGCTAGAAGCCTGACTGGAGAATTTAGGCAAACCTCAAACTGTTCCGGCGCAAAAGCAGCCCCCACCAGATCTTCCGCAGCAGCAGGACTTTTGCTGAAGACCACTGACAGCCCTGGTAAATCCTTTACTTTCTGAAGGCACAGCCACCTAGGACTTGGTTCCAGTACTGATTTCATTAGGAGTATGTTTAGTGAGGGACCCGCAGAAGGAAACCAGAGGGTTCATCCTACATCTGCTGAATGACCCCACCCATGCCTGCGTTCCTCTTATTGAACAGAAAGAAATGTATCAGGAAGCAAACCTGAGCCATTACCTCTGGTGAGATGCATAAGGATCCCCACCAGTTGTACAGTCCCTCTGCAGTTTCACTGCCAGCAGGCAAAGACCCTTTTTTTTGATTTTGTACAAAATCCTGAAATACTGTTCCAGCCCAGGAGCAGTGCCATTCACGGAGGGACCAAAGCCCTGAGGCTGAATTTTGCTCCCATTTACATCAGAGTGCTTTGCTCTGGTACAGCAGCTCAGGGTTTGGCACTGCCACGGGCAGACCATGGGCACTTCCGAGGGCAGGGGCACCTCCTCTGGAGCGCGTTTCAACACGACTCACGTGAAGAGGTGAAGCCTATCCCATCCTAGTCCTCCAAGTGCATATTTTGGAGTGAGGTGCCACAAGAAACAAGTCTGAACCACAAACACTGCAAGGGCCCACAGATTCAGAACGGAACCCATGGATGTGGCAGGCAGCAGCACCTGCCCCTAGAACCTCTCTCATCCCGGGCAGGAGCACAGGCAGGGACACAGCACACAGACCACGCTCTTACCCTGGCTCAAGCTTCTCCAACGGGCCTGGAGCTAAAGAGATCTTTGCCAACAACAAAAACCTCCCTGCAGACTACGAAAATCTCCATTCTCGCCTAAAAACATTTGGCTTCCAAAGCAAACTCCAGCCCCTTGTTTTTCCTTTGAAGAAACTTAAAATAGGCTTGGGAGGGGAAAGCAAGCAGGAGAGTAACTTCCCAGCCATGTGAGCTCCCGTGGGGATGACGAGAGGACCCCACGAGGCAGCAGAGCATCCGAAACCAGAAGAGGGAGAGTCTGGGATTTTGCGTGGGCTCTTCTTAAAGCAAAGTTTAAAAATGGAAGAGAAGGAAACACAGGAGTTATTTTGAGAAAGCGGATCTGAAATTAGGAGGCGGCATTTTCTTGGACCAACTCCAGCCATGGCTCCATGCAGCACAGAGCTGCTGCAGCTGAACCGTGCTCCCGGGGTTATTTATAGCAGCCCGTAGGCAGCAGCAGTGCTGGGGAATGGAAGGGTTTCTATTTGGGATCAGGCATGTCCCACATGGAGATATGCAAAGGCCTTCCAGGGGCAGGAGACTGTGCAGAGGGTAGCGCTGGGAAAAGTTCTGTCCTGCCAGCACGATGTCCTAGGAACAGGTAGAGCTGTGGGTGCAGCATGGCAAAGAGGCAGGCTGGAATAGGATTTTGTTTAATACAAAATTCAGGAGAAGTGTGGCTGAAGTAGAAATCATGAAAACTCTCAAGTTGAGATACCTTTTTACCTGGAGCGGAAAGCAAACAGTAAGGGGGGGGTCAAAGGCCCTACCTCTGTGCCAAGATCTGCTGGGACCAACCCACAATCTGGCAGTGCCTGTTCCACAAGGAAAGTTTATCATTCCTATGACCACATGTACTAATTTTTTCCCCTTTAAATCTCAGCATTCTCTCTCTGAGAGCCAAATCACCCCAGGAATTCATTGCCCTCTCCACAAAGCAGGTGGGATGAGCCCCAGTACTGTGGAAGGGAAGTCAACACTCTTCCCTTCCCAGCTCCCACAGTCTGCAGGAATGGCCACCACAGCGCTCCCAACACAACTGCAGGAGCCCAAGGATGAATGCCCTCCCTTCTCCTTGAATCCAAATGCTCCTGAGCATCGGGGGACACTGGTCAGCCTCAATGGCCCCTCTCACCTGGCCCAGGGGCTGATGCTCTCCAGGGGTGCCCATGGACACAGATGTCCTGCACACTTTCCCACCTCCCTGTGCTCAGCTGGAGCCAACTCCCCACCACAGCAGTGGTGACAGAGCCCTGTCCCCAAGGCTGGGGCCAGCAGAGGATGCACTGGGGGTTACAAATGACTCATCACAAATAGTAAGAAAATGGAGGAAACATTATGTTGTAGCCATGTGTTCACACCAGCCCCCAACTACTCTGCACAGAGCGGGACAAGCCAACTCATATCAGTTACTCGCTGGTCTCTGGCTTTGGCTAATCACTGCCAGACAGTTTCGGTCCTCAGCTCACTCATACCCCATCCGTGGCCAGTGGGGGAACCCCCA